TAACTCATATCTTGAAACCTTTCTTATAAACTTTTATTCACCTGCTTAATGAATTATTACCTGAAAGTCATAAATTATTACTCTATGAATTCATTTACTTGCTATGCAGAAGAGTTAACATAGCAAGCAGGGTCCTTAGCTGATGTCTGGGAACTTGACTGGTAAATAGTTGCCTACATAGATACAAAACTTTCCCCATGTAAAGAGTAGCTCATTGTGCCTAAACTGCTTACATAAACAACGTTTTATGCTGAACATCTGCTTTTCTTCTGGGAGTTAAATTTTGGTACATGCTAATCAGAAGATACCTACATGACCAGTCCAAAATAAAAACTCCTGGAAGACAGTATGAGTATTATTACTTGTTGCTTAGGATTAAGCAAATCCTGTGTGACTTCACTCTGAGAAAATTCTTGGAAGCTTGAACCTAGTTTCCTCTAGACTTCAGTCCCTGCTCCCCTTCCCTTTGTTGATTTCATTTTGCATCTTTTTGGAATAATAAATCTTAGATTTAAATACAACTACATGCTGAGTCCTATGAATCCTTCTGGTGAATAAACAATCTAAGAACGATTTTGCCTTTTAAGACCACAAAACTTTCTCCCTCTTTTCTATTCCTATCTCAGTGCATGGTAACACTCATATCTTCAGTAACCTCATCTTCAGTTAACATTCATCTTCAGTAACCTCAACCAAAAATCCAGGACAATTTTATTCCTTTTTATCTTATCCTTTTATCCCTTCAGTCACTTAGTACTATCCAGGATTATACTTAATCCTGGATATCCTAAAATTCACTTCAAGATCTCCACCATCAGTGTTACAGCTTAAACCCTTTTCACTTCTCATCAGACTCTTACCTCTCCTAACAAACTTGAAGCTAGTATTTATGTCCCTTTAATCTAGCCTGCCTATTGTTAAAGCAATTTTTCCAACTGGCAAATAAGAGGACATCACATCTCTGAGTAAATTCCTATGGGACTATCCCTCAGTTAGTATGTAATAAGCTCCTTAGGGTGATTTCCAATTGCTGTCTACCTTTCCTCCTACTGACTCTAACTCACACAATGTTGTAGCCATACTTAATTATGTGACGTTTCAAAACATGTCAGTTTCTTTCACAAATCCATCCCTTTACACATGCTAGTCCCCCTACTTTACCCAGCCTTATCACTTAAGCAAATTCTTATTCACTGATCAAGACTCTGGACAAAAATAACCTCCTTTGAGAAAATTGTCACAGATGCCCAATGATAGAATTAAACACCTCCTCTCTAATCCCATAGCTTATTGAGCACACCTATATAGTACTTACTTGACAGTATACCGTATTTGTATGTATACATCAATCTCTCTCTCCTACCTAGAGTTTTTTTAAAGAAAAGGAATATTTTCTATGCATTTTTGTATACACATAGCCAGTAACATTGTAGAATAAATAAAAAACATACATAGTTTATATCAAATTACAAACAGCTACTGCTTTATATTTAATATGTATAAATGCACACTTTTAAAAAATCAAATCCATAAGAAAAATATCATACCCATTCCATTTTTTAGTGGTGAAATGGCCTCCATGTTTTCTCTCGGAACACGCAGGGCATTAGTATCTATGTAGTAGGTGGGACCACCTTGTTTACCTTTATCACCATCTATTTCCATCAATGTGCTTCCATCATCTCTTTCTACCACCATACCAATAGCTGTAGGAAAATCCACCTGCAAGAGTCAAAAAGATTACATGAGCTTTCATGTGCTTTTATTAAGGAATCTCCAAAAATGCCATGTTTGTTTTTTTAATGTGTGTGTGTGTGTGTGT